ATATATTTAAAAGGCTGAATAATCTTGTTAAAAATGAAAAAAAGGTGCAAAATGACATTTTTTTGAGAAAGTAAGAAATACATTTCAACTAGGCAAGTAATAACCATGAGCCATTCAGACCTATTTATTTATGAAATAAGCTAGAAGAGTGCATCTCGTGCGGATGAGAGATCTACTGAGTTATTATCGTGGTTTCCTACCTAGAAACCATAGTGAACAATTTGGGCGATGTATTTTAATCCAGGTGCGTCAGCGGTGGTCAAATGGTGCAATAAACCCTTGCGAAATGCGATTTTGCATACACGTGTTTTCTCAATAGTCTGTATTTAACTTGTTAAATGAGAGAATTTCAATTATTTGCGGTACGGTGCAGCGCTTTGGAAGCGCTGCGATAGTCTTCTTAAATGACGGGTTTGAAAATTCATTCCTTAAAAATGTCAAAATACTTAGGATAACGTTGAAGCTTAGGTTTTGCTTTTCTAAGTCACGATAATGCTCTAGGACAGCGCTGTCCAACTTATCATAGCCCGCGGGCCATATTTTCTTCACCAAACATTTCAGCGGCCAACAAGGTGTATAAATGAAAAGTCAGGTTTGTTAATTAAAAAATATTTTATTTATACTAAAAAGAAAACTTTGAAATATTCGTAATATATTAATGAGAACATTGTGGCCGTAATTGTTTAGCAACAATATCTTTTATGACCACATCAATATTTGTTGTGGCAAGTCTAATTATATATTTAAGAGTGGAATCTTTCAAAATGTTTCTATATTTTGACTTTATATATTTCATATCGGAGTATGCACGCTCGCAGATATATGTACTTCCGAACATTGGTACAATTTGAAGTCCAAAATCTCTAAATTTTCGATATTTCTCTTTATCTAAAAATTTGAATATTTCTATTCCAGTTACTCCACGAGATGTAAAAAATAGGTCACCCTGCAGGTCGCATAATTACATTTGATATTAAGATCAACGGAGTTGATATCAATATTAATTAGATCACAAAATAAATCAATAGTTTAAGATCATCAAATTGAGAAAATCTTTCATTGAAATCTGTAATTAGCATATCAAATTTTGGTAGAAATATTTTTAAATTCGCTTCTACTACACTTCTTCATAGATCTCTTTGCAAGATTCAAAATGAAATAAATTATTTTGCTCCAAATTAAACCTTAACAATTTTAATTTGTTTCTAAATCCAGTAACATATTTATAAAGGCAACACACATTTTGATCTTGTCCTTGCAAGTATTTATTCAAAATATTTAAATAATTTGTAATGTTCGTTAGGAAAGCAAGTGAATAAATAAAGTTTTTATCAACTAAATCTGCTGTTAAATTTTCATCGACGGCAATTTCTGTGAGAAAAAGATGAACTTCTTTTCGAAGTGTAAAGAATCTCCCCTCAAGCACTTTCCAGCACTTAACCAACGAATGTTACTAAGTAAAAGCAGATCTGCATATTCAGTTTCCAATTCATCCAAAAATGTTTTAAATTTTCGGTGTGTAAGAGAACGATTCCCCCCGCGAATCAAATTAGTAACTTTGCAAACCTTGTCCATTACGTCTTTTAGTTATAGGGATAAACCATATAATGCCTCCTAATGGATAATACAGTGTAACATACGACGTGTTATTCCTCCTTTTTGCAAAAGTCCCGCGAGCCCAATATTTTCGCCCGTCATAGCTCTAGCACCGTCGGTTACAATAGCAGTGCATTTATCAAATCCGCCATACTGCTCTACTGAACATTTTAATTGTTTGTAAATATCTTTACCTTTTGTTGTTTCGTGTAATGATTGTAATTTTAAAAGTTCTTCTGAATAATTATAGTTTTCATTTACAGTTCTTATAAAGATAAGCATTTGACTTGTATCGGAAATGTCTGTGCTTTCATCCAATGCTAACGAAAAATAGCAGCAACTATTGGTTTGGTTTTCTAATTTATTAGTGACATGCATGCTAATCTTGTTTACACGTCGGCTAGTCTGGTGACAAAGTGATACTGTTTGAAATTTTCTTACCATTTCGTTTTCATTAAATGCTTGAGCCATTTTTATGGCACATTTTTTAATGAATTCTCCATCCAAAAATGACTTCTTTGCCTTTACTATTTCTAAACAAACTTCAAACGATGCAGCTACAGATGCTTCTTGAAATTTTGGTTCTTGATTAAAATAAATCGTTTGATGATCCAGTTACTTTTTCATTTTTTTCACTAGTGGGTATTTTCATGTCTCGCATGTACGAATGATACTTTTTTTCATGATGGAAAGATAATGGTGCTTCAAATTATATTCTTTACACACAGCTATGATTTATAAACATTCCAAACACTGTGGTTTACCATTCTTGTTGAGAATAAAATAAATAATCTATCTCCATTCTTGTTCAGAATAAATAAATAATCTATCTCCTAGCGATCTCGAAATTCTCGATTTTCGAGGGCTATTTTTCTTAGTAGCACTCATATTCAATAATTATTTTAATTAATAAATAAATATGAAATTAAGTTAATAATAATATTATGACACAGTCACCCTCAACAAATTCTAGACAAGACTGCACTCGCACGATTGCATGAATCAACCAAATAGCGCAGGGTAGTGTAGCCATCACGTGCGCCAACCATAGATAAACAATATCCAACCACAAATATAATATGTGGCGCCAACGTTGAGCCAACCATCATCAGACGTTAAACGGATTGCTGCTGTATTCAGCCAGGTTAAGCGAAGTTACGCAAACTAAATAGTACCTACTTTGAATTCAAATTAGATTTAAATTTTCGCATAGTAAAATAATTTTAATATTAATAATAATAATTTAGTAACATAAATTTATTCATAGTAAAATGTACTCACGGGCCGTAAAAATAATTTGGCGGGCCGTATACGACCCGCGGGCCGTCAGTTGGACAGCCCTGCTCTAGGACATGGTACTGAAGCATTACATCATTGCATCCAAATGTAGGACATGGTACTGAAGCCATCACAACATTGCATCCAAATGTTGCTCCTTCCACCGAACGCCACTTCCTTTTAATCTGACACATGGATTAAGAAATCAAAAGCATTCAGACCCTATCACTTCCTTTTAATCTAACCCATGGATTAAGAAATCAAAAGCATTCAGACCATATTATGTCAGGCATGTTTACATCTCTGCAAATAAAGCACCAGAAGATGTAAAGCAACAGATAATACTAGCATTCTTGAAGCAATTTAACATAAGACACTGCACAGAAATGATTAACTCACTTGAGAACACGTGTGAATTCATCAATAACAATTGCTTGTTGGCATTAGCACTGACTTAGAAGTAATCAACAATTTTATATGATTTTCATCGACTGAAAATGAAGCCAAGCCATTCGTACAAATTACAAAAGCAATAGGCGGCGAAGAATTTTCAGATATGAAAGAAGGAGATATTAAAGAACTAGTCGAGAATGGCGATCATGAAATGAGAAATGATGAAGTGGATGATGTTATACACATCAGGCCCTGACGGAGAAAGCAGCGACAGTGAAGAAGATAAAGAAACTTTAATGTAAAAAAGTTAAAACGAATTGTTAAAAAGGCACAGTAACTGTCTAATTCTGTAATGGAGATTGACTCGAATGAAGAATGCAAAGCACACTTCATGAGACATATTGAAAAACTTTGCAATGCTTACAATAAAACATTTAATAAGATGCGTCACACAGTGTCCTCTGAAAAATAACCAGCGATTTAAAACAATAATTATATCATGTACCTACTTTTTAAGCAGTGATAGAAATCCTTTCAATTAACATTTATTTCGCCTTTCGTTTTTAATTACAATAATACTTAGATTAACATAAATTATACATAATATCTTAATCTAAATTATACGTTACTCGTTTTTCCCATAGAAAGTTAAAACTTTGCGAAATGTGATTTTGCCGTACGCAAAATGTTAGTGGCATAATTCCCGCGTTCGGCAAGGGTTTACAGTACAACAAATACTTATGCTGCACATTCGTTTATGATGAATTGTATATAAATTCTTTTGAAGAACATTATCCTTTACTGCCTTCTGCCCAAGGGTTTCTCCTCTGCTTATTTGTAATGTATTGCTCATTACTTCATTTTCTAAATCAAGAGCTACGTTGCATAGCTTAGATATGACATACTATTTTTAACTGCCTGAATGAAGTATATCAAAGATTTCAGATTGTACAGATAAAATACTGGATGCCTACACATAACCGAATTTTTGAATTTATCTTGGTTTCATATATCTAGGAAAAAGGTTTTTATTCATAAAATCTGACGATTCGCATAAACTTTTGTTGTCCGCACATATAAAGATATACAGACATAACTATATATACGACGTGTATCGAATTAGATTTATAGAACAACATATCAGACACAATATCCGAATTTTACTCTACTCCGGAAACTGTTTCTGATACTATCACTTTTACAACCGAGTTCTTGAAATTAAAAGTGTTCGAGAAATGACTTTTCACGAATTAAATTCTAAGCATAAAATTACTCTATTTAGATGAGAAACAATGGAAATGTTAAATGACACAGGGGAAAAAAACGTATAATAACTAACAGCACGAGAAAAATCACTGTCAGACCTAGGAAGTCTTTTAATAGCAACGAACCAAATTTACCTTCCAATTTCGGCTCTCAAACGTGTCTAAGTCAGTTTCAAAATGAAATCAATGATATCTATCATTCACTAATCTATGCTACTATAAGCTTTATCATCAATTCATTCCAAGTATTTTGCATCAGAATTTAAGGTTATATTTCTTTATCCGAAAATACTACAAAAACTATGACTATAAAAAGACATCGGAAAACGCGAGGGTATAAAAAATCAGTTAGTTCAATCTGTTCTAGGTTAGTAATTAGGTTAATATAAAATGTAAACAGTTCTTTTTGGTTAAGAACTACATTTGTCCTACTGCAAGCCCACTACAGGCATTTCATGCAAGACTTGCCTCTGTAGAAGTCTGGGGCTCTGTTGATTGCACCCCAGCAGCAAACAAACCAGACGGTTCAACTACAGATTCTGAGCTTTTTTCTTCTTTTATAACAGGATGATAAAATTCGGATGACGTTTGACTCACTGTTGATGTGGGCCTTGTGCTGGAAGTCTCGGACATAAATACACTGGAATCCTATTTAAAGGAAGAGTTAATCACATGACAACTTAGGTCTAAATTAAACAGCTGAAACCTGCTTGTGATAAAAAGCTTTAAGCTAGGTGTTGATGACAGCAACAAATGAAACAAATGGGTGTTCAAATAGTTATTAAAATAATTTTTTTATAAATTCGGTTTTATTGAATACGGCACGACTGTTTCTACCCTATAAATTTCATTACACTTTTAGTGCATGCACCAGGCGTCGGCAACGCCGCATCCCTCACTATTAACTCCTCAAAACATAATTTTAAGTACGGATTTATATTTTTTGTAATTATTTACAAGTATTTTTATTTTGAACAAAAACATAATAATTTTGCTTATTTATTATTACACACTTGTGATTAGAAAATCACATTAGTAATTTAATTTTTTTAAAATTAAACTATGAACTTTCAGTGGATTTAAAAATTATATCGTGCTTTTATTAACAAAATGTTGACGACATGCGGTACATACAAATGTCAAAATCATGTATATACCAAATGTAATATGTTTACTGTGTCTATATGTATGTCTTCAAATTTAAACAACTTCATCAAGCAAATTAAATAATTAAACGACAGTAATGCTTTCTCTTTCCTACTTCTAGAAACAGAAATTGAAAGGTAACTACCAAATTAATGACAATATAAAAAAAATAAATTAACCATCGTTTTGATTTAAAATAAAATCTAACGAAATCAAATTCTGTAAATACAATGATAATTACACAGTGACATGAATTAAGAATTCCTAACATATAGTACGTTTAGAATACAGTTATTTCAGATTTACACAGACAGTGAGTTTTTGAAAAATGTAAGAGAAAATTTCATCTTATACATTCAAAAACTTAATATGTAGTACGTATCTGCTTAGAAAGATGTTAAAAATTTATGAGAAAAGTAAAGAGGAGTACAATTATCTTACGAGTATTTGTGAAGTTAAGGAAACTGTAACTAATGAATAAAATAAAAGGAAAAGGAAACGCAGTCACAGAATAAAATATACATACATCTTTACAAAAGTTCAAAGAATTCATTTTTATATTTCTGCTTTCTAATTTACAATTTAATATTTGAAAAAAATTGACATTACTATATTTTGAAAACAAAAATTAAAAAGATTTTACTTATTATAGGATTCTAAACAATGAATGATATCTGCAGTACAGAGACACAGTTTCAAGCTGAAGGAAAATACTGAGTGATTTCAACCAAAATTCTTTAATTTACAAGACATTAAGGTATGATTAAAGATATGGTTTTTATAAAAAACATATTTTTAGGATTTTATGAAACTAACATTGTTACTTTAATGAATTAATAATTCACAATTGAGATGATTTAGCATTTAGTACAGAGTGAAAAGAATTCTTTTATTATCAATAGAACTAATTTCTGCAATTTCAGTATGCGAAAGCATCCGATTCATATTAATAACGGAACGAATTCCATATAATGAAGAAAGGTACATTTTTAATATATTTTTTAAATTTTAACATTTATTCATATTTTGTAATTAGAAGTACATATATAAACTCCCGTTAAAATAACTGCAAACCTTTAAATTTTTAGCTTAATACAAAATATGAAAAATTATGGATGGATTCCACTGAGTGAAAGTCAAATAATATATTTATACTGGTATACTTAACATACAAAGAATTAAGAGATTACCTTACCTTACTGAAAGATGGAAAAAATGATGATTTCTGAAATGGAATAAAAAGGTGTATAAATTTATGTTATATTATTGAACAATAAAAATGAATAATAGTGAATAATAAATTTATGTTATAACATTGAATAATTTCAATATATAAACGTAGATAGTAAATATTTTTCACTTACGCTCTTTTCTTTTTTGGAAGAAAATGGGTCAGAAATAGGACCTTTTGTTTCTTCTACTTTGACACTTTCTTGAATCTCGGTAAAAACTGTTTTCTGTAATGGAAATAAAAGTCAGTCAATTAACGGAAATAACTGATGAATTTTTTCATATTAAATTACACCATTTAAAATTACATACACATGAATTAAGGGTATGAAAATTACACAATTATCCGAAGTTTAAAGAAGAATTAAATGAAGAAAATTTTAAATATTGTTTTCAGCAAATTTGGTAAAAATAAAAAATACTGCACAAGTCCACAAAGATGTAAAGTAGTTATAAAAAATCAAACAAATTGCCAAAATGAAATCCTATTAATACGGGTACGAATTGCAAAAAGAGATTTCTTTCTCCTCTCCCCCTTTTTTTAGGGGGGATAGGGAATGTAACCTTTCACCAACAGATGGCGCTCTAAATGATACGATCGAAGTAGTATTGAAAATGATTTGCTCTTGGCCACTCCCTTCCTCCTATGCTCCGTTCTCTCCTCAGTGAGCAGGAACTATTTATTTAATATCATGTGTCTTAGGGCTTATTTATCAAGGAGCCGGCAAAATTACACGAATGTGTAGTAGTTCCGGCGATATGTCTATAGGCTGAAATTGCATGAATCCCTTACTTTATCATTAATATAAATATTAAGCAGTGGCATAGCCACAGCACATGCCACTCTAAACGATTCGTTTGCCGCCCTCATGCACATTATAAAAAATCCATAAAATATCAAAATGTCATAAAGGGATATAAAAAAATTGCATGTTTACCTTTGAAATAAACTTTAATTCCAACATTCTACAGTGCTAATTTGCTTGTGTTTTCATTACCAAAATCACAGCTGACATTCTAAAAGCTTATTTCGTTACTCCAGTTGCTAGCCCCCTAAAATTACGAAATTCTCCTCCGGGGGAATTTCCCCACTGGTTGAAAATCCATCTTAGCAAGATGACCTCTGAGAATTCCTCGCCCTTCTTTCTAGATCTATATGAATAATCTCTAATATGTTTCAAACGAAACATTCCGCCTTAAAAAATATGCCGCCCTGGGTGCATCACCTTCTTCGCCCCCGTCTAATTACGCCATTAAATAATTAAGCAGATGAATCAATAAAAAAAACTATTGAATGAAAAAGATAATTATTAAATGGATCCTTCAGTGCAAGAAAATTTTCCAAACTCTTAGACAAAGAACCATTCTTCTGGACGGGATTAATTTTCGTGAACAGCGCAAATTAATTTTCTATTTATCTAATTTCTAGAAAAAACTAAAGCATCCTATAAAATGGAAATTTGCAGAAGTAAATATGAATGTCCTTCAAAAACTGTAGAAAACAAAGTTCTCACTCTAGTTTACCAGTAAAACACTTTTCGATTCTATCACATTCTACAGGAGCAGATTATTCTATAAATATTTATTTATTTGCAAAGTAACGTCCACCCGAAGAAGGAACACGATTCGTTTCGCTCTTGAAATACACTCAGCCTTTCTGCTTGAAATACACGTAAAACGATGGTTATATTTTGCAGATTATTATTGTCCAAACTGTTATTTAATTTAATTCATTCACTTTGAAGTAATTTTTAAAGCTAATGAGAAACACTCAAACTAATTGTATCTGCATAGCACTTACTTGCACATCAAATGACTGGGCGAATGAATAAGTATCTGAAAAAAAAATCCAATCTGATCTCTGAATGAAAAAAGAAATAGATACAGTAGATCCTTAATTGGTTTCAAATATTATACTAACATCATTCTGAAACAAGGTGAATAAATCCAATAAGTATACGGGTAATGGTACTCAATTACTATACCGGAAGAAAAAAAAAAAAAAAAAAAACTGCTTGGTAGAAAAATTCAACGAGATTAACGAACACATTTACTATCATTTTTCCACACCTATAACTGATGTAATTTTAGATTTTAAAAGCAAATTTAAAATTCACAACTAATACTTTTTGGCAATTGATATTAAGTACATTGAACTATCATTTGCTATTATCTGTAGAAGCGCCTAACAAGAAGATATTTATGCAATATAGCATACCCCGATGAAGCACATGGAACCTCTTATTTTCAATTCAGCATAGTATACAAAACACTTCATTTCTTGGAATATTTGTACTACAGGAATCTTATAAAAAATCAAGACTTTTTATATACTTGTCCAGTGTAGAAATTGTTTTGATAAAATTTTCTGCCTTATTTTAAGAAACTCTGTTATTAGAAATATATGTCTAGGTTCAACTATAGGTTTTAGCCAACCTTCTGAAACGCCCTGCGAATTCCAAATGAGCCCATTTACCATCTAAAAAGGACCAAGAGATTTAGATCCTCTACTAAGGCAAAAAAAAAATATGAACAAAATCCTTAAAGTATTTCGTTAAAGTATCGTATAGCAGCATTTAAAAAATAAGCATTTGTAGAATCACAATAAACGAATAACCTTCCAGTAAGTTTCCAAGTTTGTTCATTTGTAAGAAATTGCTACGATTTCCATACACGCGGTGATAAGAAGTTCGTTTTAAAGGCATATGATGAACATCCTAGCAACTATAGAATAAAACAGCTGCAGTATGTCTACAACTTTGCGGATACTGTAGGTGTAACGCATTCGTAAGTTAAATAAACAAACGTTAAAAAAAGTTGAAGGTTTGCAAGTTATATACACAAATAATGATCCCGTACGGTACCACCACAACTGTGTTATTTCTTAGCCTTGTAAACTCTGCAAAATGCACTCTTGAATATACAGTTTTGCCAATTTCAGTGCTTTTTCTATGATCTAAGTCAAAAGGAGAAATATATATTCTAGGAACCATTTATGGCATTATCTGGCTATATGATGATCAACGCTTTCGTTGTGACTACATAATGCTATAAATATCATAACATCTGCAAAACAACATTTTCATCAGACGATTTGTGTGACACAAGGAAGAAGGAATGGTTTCGTTTCTCCGTGGTTTGATCCTGCAGAATCATAGACATAAGGGTTCATTTAACTGTTTGATATTTATTTCTTGATTATTTCTTGTTAGTAATCATATTTTATATAAATCAGTTTAAAATATACCAAAACATTTTAAGTTATTTCATTTCCGTGGTATATGCATTATTTTAGATTTTTATAAATCATTCCAGTAAGTATATAAGCACAGCCTCCAATCATTGAAATGAAAAAAAAAAAAAAGGTAAAATGTTATTATCATTTACTTGATAAGCCATTTTGTGTTGCTACCAATCTATTTTTATCTTCTTTCCTATGTTGCGCGCTTCCTCAAAATGTACACACAAAATAATGCATTTTTTAAAGTCGTTTCGCTGAACAGAAATGGCAGCTCATATTCACTAGTACTTAGCAGACAGTTAAAGATGCGTTTTCCGTGAACTTTGCTTCGTAACAGGCTGAAATCCAATGAGTTGCAACTAGATTAATTGTTTTACCCTGGTGAGCAGCGACTTATTTTCTTAAATATTATATACTGACAGATTGAAAAGTAAGAAAAATTTAAGTCCTTTATTATATTCAACCTGGTTTAAGCAATTATGAAATATAAAAACTGTTTACATACGCAAAAAGCATTTCGAATAAATAAATTAACTGAAACAGCAGGTGAACTAACGCATATATAGTGTAAATAATAAAAGAAATAAAAACGCAAACTAAAAAAAAAGTGTAAATAAAATTGAAATGCAAAGAATTTACATCTCTCGGCATATATCTGTCAGAAGGTTACTCATCTGTGTCACTGCCAGTTCGAAAACAGATTCTTTCCGAACACTATATAAACATCTTTCCGAACACTATATAAACAGACATACAAGGATATACAATTAGAACCCATGAATGAAAATAAAACTGAACAGTCTGTAACACACGTAGTACTACATGAACACAGCCACATAACATCTGTTCGTGTAAAATGGAAACTATAGATAATAACATGGAAGTAAATGCAGAGTTGCTTTCATTTCTATCAGAAGCAAACTTACTCATAGAAAACAGAAAAAGAAAATAGGAAACATGAAATTAGAATATTTACTACTGTAATGCAATTTGGAGCTATTATTATGATATTTTCTTATAAGACTTTCTGACAGAAACTGACCCATATTCATATCGCATATGAGAAACTATGAGAACATCACACAGCCTCAGTTAAGGTACTTCAACAGGCGATGAACAAATTCTTTTCGAAGTAACAGAATTATCTCATAAGATATCGAAAACTGCGTATCACCAGAAGGCCCACCAGCGGCCACGCGATAAGCACGGAACACTGGTAGTTCAGTCCGAGGTTCGAATCCCGCGAATGGGCTAGCTGCATGGGCATTCGTGGTTTTCCCCATGTGTAACGTGCTAATACGAGTTAGTTTCCCTTAGAAAGTCCTCCACTAAGGCGTTCCTTCCCTTCTGTGTACTGCCTTAAGGCAAAACACGTAAATAATAATAATATTACCAGAAGCATGAGAGTAACTAAAGAGAAGCGAGCGGCATAAATGATCATTATAAGCGTCAAACTCAGCTACTATAGGGCCTGCATTCAATTCAAGTCAGATCAAACTGACTTTATTGAAATTGAAATTCTTTTTTCAGCTGAAGAGATTCTTGCACTATGGAATACTCTATGAAACTTTAAAATTCTTCCAATGATCTCAGAGTTCCAACAGATGGATTAAAAACAATAGAAGATATTTCGGGACAGTTTTCTCACACCAACAGAATATAGGCAATTCAAGATGACCACAATACACAAATAATATAAACAAGCAGGTTAAAGATGTCAAAGGGGCTTCAAATAGCGTGTTCTTCATAGAATTACTCTGTAATGTTCGCAATGAATCAAATAATGTTAATTCAGCAGGCACAATTTCTAATGCACAAAAACTGTAGCACAAACTGACATCAACTTCTAGCAAATAAAACTGGGAGAAATATTTATTTTTCTGAATGATTCAATAAAAATATCCTTTCGAAAAAGGAAAAATAAGCTTTTAAACAAAAGAATTAAAACACATTCACTAATAAGGCACTTAGATCAGTATTTAGGAC